CTGTCTCCGGGGGAACGCGCAGCCAATCCCCGCCGCCCACTGAGGACTCGCCCCGGCCGGGCCGCGGCGCGCTAGCCCCCGGCGGGGCTTTCCCCCTCGCTCTCGTGGTCTCTCCCGCTCCCATCTTTCCCCTTTTCCTTTCTCCGCAAGTTTTTAAACTTTGATGAACTTGCCCGGCGAACTTTCTTAAAGGGGCCGCGCTGTCCCAGCCCGCGGGCCGTGGAGCTGGGTGCCGGGCGCCCCTGCGTCCCTCGCCAACCCCGCCCCGGCGACCCCACGTGGGGGGCTCCAGCTGGACTCCTGAGTCGTCGGCTTCAGGAAAGAGGCTCCGCTTGTGCCCTGATCCGGGATCATAGGGCCCGGGGCACCCATTGCACCCCAAAATTCAGCGCCCAGACCTGGCCCGCGCGCTCCGCTCTCCCAGGAGCTCGGGGTTGCTTTGGGGGGCAGGTTCTGGGAAGGAGGGCGGGGCCGTGGGGTGGGCGCGGACACCTGGGCTTTGGCCCCGGCTGGGCGCAGTTTTGCTGCGTGACCTTGAGGAAATCGCTTCCCCTCTCTGGCCGCAGGCTTCCAGCCCCGAGGGTGGGACTTAGACCTCAGCTCCCTTCCCAACCCCGGCCGCCGCTGGGACTCTGGGCGGGGAGACGAGTTTTGGGGATCAGAATGGTCATAAGCTCCAGCCGGGGGTACCTCCCGTGACTGAGAAGGCTCCGTGCGCCCTCCCCTTCCCCTTCCCACCCTCCAGCTTTGGGTGCTCTCTTACCACGGCCTCAAGCCCCCCACACGAACACACCTTGCCCCTCCCATTCAGAGCCCGAGGCACAGGGAAGGGAGAGCCACCTGCGGCCTGGGCGCGGCGGCAGTGACTCCCCTGCTGGGGTCTCAAGGGCGCGGCCCTCGGAGGGCTTTTCCCCTGACTTTTGAAAACCCGCTCGGGCTGAGGCCGGCCCCTGCCGCCCCCCTGTGCAACCCGCCCCCCCCCCCCCACCTCGGTGTGCTCTTCAAGAGCAGCAGCCACGAGGCCGGGGGAGCTGCCCCAGGACTGGCCCTCCCTGGCGCCCCTGGCTCTGAACTCGAGCTGCGACCCCGGGAACCCCGGCCAGAGGCTCCGTTGGGACGGAAGAGACCGGCGGGACCTGGCCCGGATCCGGCGTTGCCGGGCGTGATTTGCCTCCCTGCTCCTAGTTTCTGCTCCCTTTCCGGGCAAACCTGGTCGCCGCACCTGCGTTTTAATGTTGGACGCGGCGCGCAGCGTCGGTGGAGTGAGGTTGGGTGGGCAGTCAGACCAGTGAGGATCCCAGACCCTAGACCGGTGACTCAACCCTTCCGAGCCTCAGTACTCCGACCTGCTAGGCAAGGCTAGCGCGGCCACCGGGGAGTATCGTGGGACGGCTACGACGTGCCTGACTTAGTCTCTGCAACAAATCTTAATCTCCTTCCTAGCCTGCCACTTCACAGTTAGGTAAATTGAGGCCTAGAAATAGGCAGTGTCTTTCCCAAAGACACATTCTCCCAGTAAATCATGGTTGAGCACCTACTATGTGCTGGTGGGTAGGCCAGAAGCACCCTGGTTTCCTGCCACCCCCATTGTGAACATTAGGTTCAGGCTTTATGAGGGGAACCGCCTCCTATGGGGAGCAGGCACTGCCATTCCATGAGAAGTGCTTCTCTTTACCCAAACGTTTTTAGGTACTTCCAGCCTCTGGCACCTTGTGAGTCCGTAGACATCCTGACCATCCTTCATAAGCCGCAGTCCACCCAGCATAATCTCCCCCACCCCTGCCCTAGATCTTCCCAGCAGGCGGACCACCAGCTTTGTCCCCTCAGGATTATTCCTCCTCTCCCTCCTCCTCCCTTTTTCTTTCCTCTCTGCTTTTCCCGCCTTATCAATCCAAATCCTCACTGCCCTCAAATTCCTGCTTCAGTTCGGCTCCCTTTTCTGCCGGGAGGAGAAGCCTGGCCAGTTTTCTAAACTCCGGTATCTTCAGTTAGTTTGGAATTTTTCAAAGAGGAAGGGCGTCTCATCTTGCCCTTCAGGTTCCCATTTTATAGAGGAGGAAGCTGAGGCCCGAAGAAGTGACAAATGACACAGGGTCCACAATTGACCCCCACTGCTGTATTTTTCCATGACATGAAGCTGATGCTTATTTTTAAATATTTATTACTTTTCTGATGATAAGAGCAATATATGCACATCATTGAAGAGTTGTAAGCTATAAAATAGTTTAGGAAACAATCTGCCATCTAGAGAGCAATTTATTAATATTTCCTTCTAATCTTTTTGTCCGTGCATAAATTTTCGATCTATAGTTTCAGAACCCCCTTTTTCTTAAATTTGTCATGAGCATTTCTTAAAATTATTCAGTCATAATTTTTTATAATTGTTAATCCCCATGAGATGTGCCATAATTTTTTTAATATACATTTTTTATTGATTTCAGAGAGGAAGGGAGAGAGAAACATCAATGATGAGAGAGAATCATTGATCGGCTGCCTCCTGCATGCCCTTTACTGGCTACTGAGCCCGCAACCCAGGCATATGTCCTTGACCAGAATCGAACCCGGAACCCTTTCACTGAGCCAGACTGGCTAGGGCAATGTGCCACAATTTGACATCTTTTGTTATTAGACATTTGTATTATTTCCAGTTTTATTCTCTTTTGCCTTCATGAGAAACACCTTACACGAGGATTCTTATTGCTTCAGAAAGCTTCCTGGATTGTGGCCAGCCTTTAAGCATATTGGAGGCAGCACCTGTCTTATTCCTCCTTGTATCCCCACAGCCCCTGAAATGGAAGAATCTCTGACTCCAGAGGGATTGGGAGATTATGTAAACGCAAAGGTCCCATCCACCCTGGTGTGAGTATCCAGTTGATGCAAATGGGGCTAGAGAGAAGAGTTCAGGGTATACAACCCTGGCCAACTGCCTGGCGGGTGAGAACTTTTAACTCAGTCTCTTCCAACTCTGACCTGGTAGCCCAGCCTCTAGCAACCTCTTCAGTGCCCCCTCGCCCCGTGGTGCCAGGCTTCCCATTACCTCTGAGCTTCTCACATTTCTGTTCCCTTTGCCTAAGGCAGTGATGGCGAACCTATGACACACGTGTCAGAGGTGACACGCGAACTCATTTTTTTGATTTTTCTTTGTTAAATGGCATTTAAATATATAAAATAAATATCAAAAATATAAGTCTTTGTTTTACTATGGTTGCAAATATCAAAAAATGTCTATATGTGACACGGCACCAGAGTTAAGTTAGGGTTTTTCAAAATGCTGACACGCCGAGCTCAAAAGTTTCGCCATCACTGGCCTAAGGCCACCCCCCATCCCTTCCCCAGCTTCCTGATCTTTCCCCACCCACACCCCTTCCCAAATGCTCTCATAGGGCCTTCTCTGTGTCCTCTTGAGCCTGGGAATACCTCGTCTTGCAGTCTCACCTACCAGATGTGAAAATCTCTGACTCTGAGAAGTATCCACAAACCTTGCTAAGTGAATACAGCCTCACCTTTCCATTTCTGCAGAGAACTTGATGAGTGATGGGCATTTGCAGTGGTAGATGTTCAATAACCCTTCGCTGAAATGATATTGGACTATTCCTGGGGCCTCTGGGTTATCTGGGGTATATGGGCCCTTTCTCTTTGATTTACTGTACATACATTATCCTTTGGTGTTTTATTCTTAGGGGATGGAAAAGATTCCGATGGCCTCACTCCTGAGAAATGCTGCCCTGGGACCCACCCAGCATCCTGAGGGGATGTATGCCTTGCTACTTTCTAACCTCAGCTTCCCCACCATCAGGAAAGCCTGGGCAATGAGAAGGCGGGTAGAGAGGGTGACCTTGAAGCCCAAAGGCTAG